CTTTAAACTTCACTGAAACTAATCCTGGCGAACTGATCGATACGATGGATGATGGATAACTGACTAATTAGCTGGTTTCATTCCTCTCCTGTCGCTGCCTGAACCCGCCGGGTGTTCATCCCCAGAGTCAGAGTCCTGGTCGGAGCTCCAAATGTAGTAGTTCTTGTTTAATTAGGATTCTGTATCTGTCTCTGTAGCCTGTCACAGTGAGATCAGCCCTGGGCCTGTTTCCTAAAATATCTGTTAACATATAAAACAGCCGTCCTCCTGATTAATCCTGAACTTCAAGCAAAATTTAATTAAATTCTTTCCTGTCAGCTTTATAACTTAAGTTTTTTCCACTTAAATATTGATGATATTTGCTGTATTACACACTTGGAAACAAAGACTGAAAGCAGCCTCTTTATCAGTTGATGTGAACAGTTCCCTTCAGCACGGATTAAAACCTGCAGGTCTGCAAACAAACACGGGAACAATTTAAACAGTTCATAAGAAAAGCCAACAATTGTTAGCTTGCCAGCTGCGTTATCCAGCGGCTGGGTTATGAGTTATTCCAATTCATCCTGAGGAGAACATTAATGTCTGAAGCACATTTCATCACAATCCATCCAGCAGTTCCAGACCTGACAAACTAAATGATGTCTTATTCTGACCAATAACCAGTTCTATAGTAAAAGCTTCCTCAGTTGATCACCTCCCCAACGGAAGATCTGAACGCTGTAAAACAAACGTACCTCCACAACCAGATCTAGATAGAGATAGACCACATTACTGCTTGCATTAACTGCAGCCCATGTGACTGATGAGTGAATCCCAGCTATCAGGCTTTGGATCTGGACGAGGAAGGAAGGCTAAATTATCTATCTGCAGCTCCGGCATTACTCACTCATTAGCAGCCACAGAATGACAGAGCTAATGAAGTGGAGGCAACAGGAAGCAAACACAGACCTCAGGGCCGCCACGGAGCTCCGGGGCATTAAACAAGACCGACAACTCACTCGAGATGGATCAGTGCCTTCGTTTCTGGTCAATAAAGTTTAGGGAAAACACGTTGAGTGGACCAAAGCTTGTTTGCTTTAATGACAGAAAGTCTTTGTTTCTCTGGTTCTTCTCTACCAACCTGGACCAATGTGAGCTGATACTGAACTTTTAAACTTGTTCAATTGAACTGAATATAATGGTCCTGATTTCAGTGTTTAGGATTTTAACTGTTCAGAACTTTATGAAGGAAAATCAATATTGGTTCAGTCACTTTGGGTTTGTTACAGCGAGATCAATACAACTTTTACCCAACGCAGCAAAAAAGTAATCTTAAGGAAGTAAAACAGTCTTGTTTCTGGTAAATGAGTCTGTAGCTTTAGTCTAAAAAGAAAAATAATCTTGTCAAACATGTTTTATATTAGAAAAGTTATCTGGTTTTAAGACAATATATCAAAAAGATATTACAGCTCATACTGAGCTTGATTTAAAAAGTTCCAACGATGGTTTGTTTAACATCCCGGCAGAGAGAACATTATTTTCATTATTTAAGACAAAGTCACTACTTTCATTATGCTGTTTAGAGAAATTGTGTCTTACTGCAAGATTTATTGTGCTTATTATAAATTCAGCTCAATTAAGTGACCAAATTACCTATTTTTAGAATCTTCATACACATTTTTGGCATTTTTTCTAGTTTTAAGGCCCATTACAGTCTTTCAGTGGCTGATTTTTATGCTAGTTTTAAGAAGTGTTTTACCCCGGTGGCAGATTGTTGCTCAATACAAGAAAATCTGTTATATAATATATAATATTCAACATGTTTTTGCAGTGAAAAACACATTTTAAAGACAGAAAAATGCTATTTTTAGTACTAGTACTAGTTTAAGTGTCCAAGCTCTCTGACCGTCCTCCATTACTCTGCTCATAGATAAAGCCATGGTAACAATAGAGATCATAGAGATATGTTAATGTGAAATATAATACGATGATGTTAACAGAAGACTTTTATAAGCAGACCTCTGACTCTGACTAGAAATTAGAGGACAATAACGGACAGCATTAATGTGCTCTTGGTGCAGAAAGGCTTTCTACACCATTAGTAGAGCGTTCAGCTGCGATGAGGACGATGTCTTTCACACTGATGCTTTTGCTCGTTGCATTAAGTCCTTTGGAGATAACGGCTGCTGAGTCTGTGTGGGCCCTGTAGACCTCGGATACTGTTCATGTTGATGGATGCTCTGTTAGTTCCAATATATTCTCTGTATGACAGTCAGTTCAAACAACAATGACACTAACCTGTTCCGAAAGCTAACCAACCCAACCAGCGCAGGCAGTGAACCAGGGTCGGAGCGGGAACAGATACATGAAGAGGGCATTAGGTTAGTGAGGGTTGGCTCATCCAGAATCAGAGCTGACTGAGGTGATGGAGCTATTGATCAAACATTCACATTCTTCTTCAGCTACGTGGGTTTAATACATCTACCTATAAAGGTGGCGTCTCCACTTCCTCCCACTGTACAACAATGAGCCAGAATATCTGCATCCTCCATCCGGAGCCAGAGTCTGTGCAGGAGTGATCGGGTCGCATTATTTCATATATTGTTCTCTTCAAATAACTGATTCAAACCAAACTGATGGTAAAACAGCGTGATAAGAACGACCTGAAGTGACAGAAACCATCTTTGGGAAACATTTATTTGACTCTTTGATTGTTTTGTCTGCTTCACTTGTGCTGTCCTGTCCCTCTTTATATATGTGGCTGGTTTAATCCCAGTCTCTTGTCCCTTTAGATGAGGTTGGGCTGAGTTTCTACCACCCTGCAGTGCAGTTACTTTCGCCTTATATGCCTTCTGGGCAACCTCTCACACTCTAATCTTACAGCCGTCCATCAATCTCGCAGAAACATTACTGGTTATTACCAAAAAATGTATTTCCATGAAACAGAAGTCAACTGGATTGAGGCCATATTGGATAAAATATGGAACCCTTTTATCAACTATACTATGTGCAGTGCCCGTAGGAAGTATGTATTGCTATAGAAAAGTGGGAGGTTAAGTAGCTTTTTCATGGATGGCCAAATGAGGTTGTGTTTGAAGGTGTAGCAGCTAGCTACAGACGAACATCCACAGATTCTGATTCCAGTTTGTTGTCCTCGCGTATCCGGGTCTCCTCAGACCGGAACAGACTCGGTCCGGACTCGTTCAGTGTCAGTAATCCACAACAGTCGGTTTAGATGCACAGAACGGGACCGAACGGCCGGCAAAACCAGGTATAGATCAGCGTGTTTCTTAAGGTGTGTCGTGGGGGTGGGCTCTGCAGTGATTGGCTCTGATGCGCACGTGGCTAAGGTGGCTATGGTTGACAATGCTAGCGGAATTCGTAAAAAAACAATGTGACTGACTCATGTGCAGTGCACGTTGTGGGGGAGGGACGGAAATACGCATACGTGAAATACGCAGACTGGCTGTGTCCCAATTCAGGGGCTGCATCCCTGAATTGGGACACAGCTTTTTTCTATACAACGTTGCACAACAGAAAATTAAAAGAAAATCGTTTCCCCCCGATTTTATTAGTTTTTAGATCGTCGGCCCCAATATCGTAATCATGATCAAATTTCGATTAATTCTGCTAGTGGATGAAAATATTGAGCTAGCTTAGCTAACTTAAACTAGCTTCTGGTGAAATAACATGTCTAGAACGAGTGCGATCAGTTCCAAGAAAAGGTTTCAGTGTCCTTCTCTACTCTTCTTTCACTGTACCAATACTCTCTGGTTATAACTGATGCTACCAGCAGCTACGCTAACCTCTTTAGCAGCCGCCATTGTTGCTTAACAAACAGTCTCTTCTCACTACTGCTAGTACTTCCTCAGAGGACACCGATTGGTCTCTAGCCTACACTCTAGGCTAGTTTTTCGAAACTTGAACTCCCGCTTAACGTTACATAACGACATTCAAGCTTTACGATAGATTTCCATTTACCGTATTGACATGCTTTCATAAAGCTGGTGCTAACCCTGCAACGAACACTAGCCAAACCTTGTGTTAATCAGGTGTTTAGAAGGTGGCGGTCTGCAATAAGAAGCGAGGTCTCTGGTCGTCCTGTACTGGTCCTGTAGATCTGACATTGGCGTCAGTCTGCTGAACAACGAGGAGAACTCGGTCTGTAAATCAAACACTAATGTGAAGCCATAATGTTCCTGCCGTCCATTCATTGGATACAATCTGAGGTCCGGGCTCTCTGCCACCTGGAGGAAACTCAACTTTTCCACCATTTCTCATCTTAATTAGTTTAGTGCGAAAGCACAACGGCTAACGAGGAGAAAGAGACATCAATGAAGGAAAGTGGAAAAATTTTAGGATAATTCAGTTTCAATCAAACAATAACTGATGGCTGGTTTTTGATTTTCATGCTGTTCTTCATTTTGCTCTTGTTTGCACCCAGCGAGGGTAAATAACGTCCCCCCGCCTCCTCCATCACTGCAGCCACTCATTACATTTCCTGCTCATCTAGAACCATTGACCTGAGCAGCTGGAGACCAGCCAGCCAGGCAGAAGCCAATTATTAGGAGCTGATTGTACCTCACCTCCATAAAAATGATACGCAGTCGTAAACGTCACACGAGGAAATTACATCTCATGAGAAGCTGACGGCCCTCCTTTACTCAGTGGGTTTGTGACTGTGTTTCATTGAACTGAACTGAATAAGAGGACAGAGTTATGACCAGAGCGGTTTGTGGTACCTATATAGATAGAGATCGATCGTATAGATCCATCTAGGGGTCTGAGTACCGATGTAGTCGTATCGATAACATTAAAACTTATTTCTGACTCGTATCCATTAATCTTTACACCCCTAATAACAAGGCTACATAGTTAAATGGATCGTTATAAATCAGTCCCCATCGCACATTCATAAAATCACTCATTTAACTTGCACATGTAAATTCTCCATTCAACCATTTTTACAGTGAACATCAGAGCTTAAACCCAACAGGAGCAAACAGATGTTGTGTTCTTACCCACTGAAATCGTCCACACTGCCATGATCTTGATGCGGGCCTTGGTGTGGGAGTTGAAGCGGCTGTGGTGGATCGGGTTGCGTATGCCGATGTATCGATCCAGAGAAATGGCACAGAGATGCATGATGGATGCCGTGGAGAAAAGGACGTCCAGGTAGATCCAGATGGGACAGAGGTCAGAGGGCAGCGGCCACCCGTAGTCTGCAGGAGGGGACGAGAGGAACAGTGTAAAGCCCAGTTAGCTAGTGTCTCTGTAGTGGAGACTAAACGTTAACAATGATCCATATCAGCAGTTTGAATCCAACTAAAAGCTCCCTGCACCAAACTCCCTTTAAGAAATATCACATTTTAACAATTCCTAACGTGTTCGTAACAACACGTAACTCTAGAAACACGAGCTAAAGGCCGTCACATGTCCACAGTCTGACTGTCAATACAGGATCAATATCATCCATAAAGATACAGTGTATACTGATCAATATCATCCATAAAGATACAGTGTATACTGATCAATATCATCCATAAAGATACAGTGTATACTGATCAATATCATCCATAAAGATACAGTGTATACTGATCAATATCATATACATATTCTAATATAAAAGTGTATTCTGTACAAACTTTACATTTTATGGCTGGCTCAGCCTCCTTCAGTGAGAGAGTAACGCTGCTTCCTGTTCCTTCTCTCTCATACCTTTACATTTCTGATATTTCCCATAAAACCTTTGAGCGTCTCTTTGAAGAGGACTGTTGCCCGATGGCCCGTACATGTCTGTCATCTGCTTCAATAAGTGCATCAGCTGGTTCAGACCATTTGTTTGTGAAAACCCAACAGAGCCGAAGTAAAAAGCAGCTTGAAAAACAAAGAGAATAATTTCGATAAATAGTGTGGTTTGATTTTGTGCTACTGGAACGGCGTCTGTGTGAGTGTGAGCTGTGAATAAAAGACATTAGCTGCGCTGCAGTGCTGCTTTTCATGGACTCTAAAAAGCTAATTACACAGCGATAAATGGAATGAGTCATACACTTTAAAACCCGGCTCCAACTCAGAACACGTTCCAGCTACATGCACACTGTCTGCACACATGTTCACACACACACGCCAGGACACCTCCCTGATGGCCGGCGAGCCGCTGCTACAGCCGCCGTCTCTAAATATAGTCTGTAAATCGGTCCTGAAATCACTCAGTGCAGTTGGACCATATTCTGAATATCAATGTGAATGGAAGCAGGTATATTAGCAGGTTTAATCATATTGAAGAGACATTTATTCAACGAAATTAGGAATTTCTGAACTGAAAATTTGTTTTTTATTTTATAATGGGAGACATTGTTTGGTTTTTCTTTACACACTATATCCAGTCTTTGGGCTCATGGGACTAAAATGGTAGAAAATGCTCTGAATAAGCAATAAAAAGGGAGGATTTGTATTATTTTCTATTATTTTCAGTAAACACAAAACTGGATCATATTTTATGTAGAGAATATTGTCTGGTTTTCCATCTGACGTCCTCCGGCTGCTCTGCCTCGACTCTGCAAACTGCTAATGTAGCTGCCGTTAACTAACTGCTAATGTAGCAACCAATGCAATATCATCCAACTGCCGCCATAAATGGGCGTTCTCGTGCTGGTGGGGGTTCCCGTTTTCGTTGACTGGAACGCCCCCTTCTTCTTCGCCTTTCTTGCTGAACTGTAACTGTCAACATCCGGTTTAATATAACATTCGCTAGTTAGTGTTTCTCAACAGAAGTTTCAAAATAAGATAGTAGTCTGTAAATGTATTATAGAACTAATGTTAGCAAGCTAAGCCATCTACAGAACGTTAGTCCAATTACATCTTAATACGCTTACATTTACGTGTAGGACTAGTCTATATTTCTACGAGTTGTTGAGGACAATTCATACTTTGCATGTGACGACACAACTACTGGCTGGCGGGCAAGAACATCGTTCTCCAGCAACGAAACCCAGTAAACTAATCAAGGATCTTGCCAGGACGTCGGTGTTTCCCCTGGCATTCATTCAGCGAAGGCTTACAAACAGCGCTGCGCATGCTTTCACTCAAGTAAATTAAAACTAACAACAATTGCATTGCTTAATTCAATGTTCTGGTGTTGTAATTATCTACGAGGTTTTGCAACATGGCCCACCCATCAAAATAAATGCTTTTATTCTTTTGTACGTCGTAACGTCGTACTACGTACTGAACGTCCATATCCAAAATCAAGATCACGGTGATTGTTTTCTGACTTCAGTTACGTCTATTAAATCTACTTCACTCGAAATGTACTATAATAGACAGATGAAGTCGGCGTTTCTTGCCCGCCAGGTATCCATGGTAACCACGTGACTGCAAAGTATGAATTGCGATTGGTCGATGAAACGCTACCAGGAACGCCCAATAGGCGTTCTTGTGTCATGACGGGAACGCCCAAGCCGCAGCTGGACCCTTCTCAACAAATGGGGCTCAGCAGCCTCCCAGTGAACAAAACCTCAGAGACAGTATATGTACTGGAGCTAATGTAGCTAAAGCTTGGTGTAGCTATTTATGTGTATTTTTGAAATTACTCATTCATGTAGCTGCATGTCACTATGGTCACTGCCAGCCTCCTCCTCCTTCTCCTCCTCCTCGCTCCTGTTCTGATTTTATTTTCTCATTTTTTCCCTCCTCTGTAGTCATCTCAACCTTGTCCTCTGTCTCTTTCACCTTGTTTTCCATTTGTGAGTCTGTAGACATGCAGTCCTCTCCTCCTCCTGCACTCCACTTTCCCTTCCGTCTGCACATCACTACGTTTATTCTGGAAACTAAAAAACTCCCAGATCTTCCAGTTTTTTGAGTTACTAGATGAAAAGTCATTATCACCTTAAAAAAGAACAAAATATGAAGAGTGATGAGGTGGTGAAGCAGCGTGGGATTATGGGAGTTGTTGTCTTCACCACCATTGGCGTCATTGCAGTCAGCTTCTCCCGGTTAGGATTCCTTCAGTGTTCATGGTTCAGGAGGTTTCTACCGGGAGCCCAATGATCCACAGAGGTCTCCTCCTCTCCAACACAAACAGACCCGCTGATTAAAACCACTAAACACACTGAATAAAGCAGTTCCACCTTAAACACACTGAATAAAGCAGTTCCACCTTAAACACAGTGAATAAAGCAGTTCCACCTTAAACACACTGAATAAAGCAGTTCCACCTTAACAATCACTGCTTTTCCCACGCAGTTGGACAGACAAAGGACGTCCCGGAGGGGCTGCGAGCCGAGCTGCTGCTAACGTTAGCTCAGCTTGTTTCTCTGATAACTTAAGATCCAGACGTCCGATGACTAAAATCCTTCATCTGGTTCAAATCTAGAGTTAAAAAGCACCAAGATCTAAACAGTGGATGGTAACAATGTGGCTTCAGACTGGATAAACATGCTAATAGACTGGGATGTAGTGTTTCTGTAGTGGAGACTAAACGTTAACAATGATCCATATCAGCAGTTTGAATCCAACTAAAAGCTCCCTGCACCAAACTCCCTTTAAGAAATATCACATTTTAACAATTCCTAACGTGTTCGTAACAACACGTAACTCTAGAAACACGAGCTAAAGGCCGTCATATGTCCACAGTCTGACTGTCAATACAGGATCAATATCATCCATAAAGATACAGTGTATACTGATCAATATCATCCATACAGATACAGTGTATACTGATCAATATCATCCATAAAGATACAGTGTATTCTGATCAATATCATCCATAAAGATACAGTGTATACTGATCAATGCCTTCCATAAAGATACAGGGTATACTGATCAATAATCAATAAAGATACAGTGTATACTGATCAATATCATCCATAAAGATACAGTGTATACTGATCAATATCATCCATAAAGATACAGTGTATACTGATCAATATCATCCATACAGATACAGTGTATACTGATCAATACCTTCCATAAAGATACAGTGTATACTGATCAATGCCTTCCATAAAGATACAGGGTATACTGATCAATAATCAATAAAGATACAGTGTATACTGATCAATACCTTCCATAAAGATACAGTGTATACTGATCAATACCTTCCATAAAGATACAGTGTATACTGATCCTGATATTAACATATAATAATATATATTAATATATAAACATTGATTAGCTGCATGGATCATTAACACAGTTTTAAACTGTGCAGCTGATCCTCGTCCCTGTAGAGAACCACAAAGAGAACAGAGAACCCCCTCAGGGACTGAGAGAGAACCACATTATTACTGCCTCCTCTGATGCTGATGACCTGGAACCAGACTGAATTATTCTTTCCTCCTACAAACAGAAACCACTAACCCCCCAGGACCCTCTGAGATCTGCTGCTGTAGTTTAACTCTCTACTCACCCAGGTGTTGTCACCTTGTTTCTGTCTCAGCGGAGTCCGACCCACCAATTAGACCCAGTCAGCTGTGCACCAGGGTTCAATGTGTGAGAGCATTCTGGGAAAACCGGCTCCATCCTGTTCACAGCGTTAGAAATCAGTGTGATAAGGTTTACAGAAAATGTTTAATTTAAAACGACCTGAAAGTCTCGTTCTTCCTCTGGATATCAACCGCACTGAAAATAACAAATATGCCATTTTTTGGTGAAAGCTCTGAGGTAAAACGTTTGCTGCAGTTACAGCGAGGACGGTTTGGTGTCTGGTTGTGTAACCGTTCCGGTGAACAGAGGGTCAGACTCTAACTTCAGAGTATTGATCGGCTGACACACACCGAGAGATTTGATCACTGCAGTCGTCTCTCGGGGAGGTTGAATGTGGGTGACTGCACCGACTGCTGCAGGCTTTATGTGACGGCCGCACAACAACCATCAGTGTGAGACAGTTACAGTGAATTTCACCTGAACACGCTCAAACTGTTGGTCAACAGCCAGGAAACAAAGCTGCACTCATTTTAAACTCAAAGACCAGAGTGTGAGTGTGTCTGAGAGTACAGAAGAGAAACTGGAATAATAAATGTGATATTAACCGAGTTTATGAAATGTTGATTTGTTCAACTGGAGAAACCCGATATAGAAAATGTTAAAGTACAAATTGAAAAGCTCAAACTGGGTGTAAATGTTCCAGATATTATTTCCTGTTGTGTCTCAGCTTTCCCAATTTACTTAATTCAAACATTGTTTATAGATCCCAGTATGCAGAGATATTGAAATACACTAA